TTACTACCCATCTCGCCAGAAGGCAACATGGTCTTGGCTTGAGGGTGCTTAATTATGTGCTCTTGTGTATCATTATTTGAGTAAAATAGAGTAAGTGGGCAGGAGGAGGGGTAAGCTCATATATGATGAGTGGGAGGTCTTATTTGAGAGACATAATGATCAGCAGCTGTGCCAAATGCCTGAAAAATTCTGTTTCAGTTGGCACAGATGCTTGAACTCACTGGCTGAAAGACTTTGAAATTGTTTAGGGTCATCACAAATGTAGGAACAAGTGGCAAGTATTTAGGTGAGAAAGAAAGATTGATGAGTGGCTACTGACCTTAATTTAAAAAACTGCCAGTAACAAAGAAACTTTCAGGATAATATTGGCACGTCTTATAATGGTAAGCCAAGTTCTCCAAAACATCAATTCCCTTTCTCCAAAATACTTTTCCAGACCATATTTACAGCCCATAGGTATATGCTGCTAGGCTACCTCCAGCAGGGGCCTACTTTGTTAAGTAAAATAGGTCACCATGAATATTTCACAGCATCTGATAAACAATTCATGCCCAAATTCAGTAGGGGGTTGAGCCTACAGAGTAATTAGTTAACTTCCTTGGGAATGGATGTAGGGCCAAGGGAGTCTGGCTTTACCAGCATCTCCTGCTCATACTTCTCCCTTCCACCCAGGGTTTAGAAACAGACTGAGAAGCTGCCAATAAAGTTGGCTTTGTTGTTTCTGCAGGAAGCTCAAAGTAAGTAAGCTCTCAGCTATAGACCACATAGTTTTAAATCTTTGAACATGTTATAGAGTATTTCTGGGCATAAACCAAAGCTCTTCTGAGCAGCCAAAGCCCCCTGCCCTGTCTTTCTCCTGGGATTAGCATTCCAGGTTCCCAGAATGAATTAAATTCACCAAAATGACCTGCCAAGGAGATTTCTAGCATAGCAGGGACTTTCAAAGCCTTTGTATGACATCATTTTCTTTGACTTGAAAATAAAGGCAGTGATTAATTTCAGCTTTACAAATTCCCTGTGATGAGAAGTAGGATGGATGCAGTCCAAAGTAGAGGGTACTAATAACAGTGTTTAGCACTAAAGACTGTGTTCAAACAGCAGAAATGTTGCTGACATTCTGTAATGTTTATGCTACCCCACTACCCAGACAGACAGCATGCTATAAGTAAAGAGCAAAGGGTATGGGTATTGCAGTTACTTGTTTCCAACCTAGCAAAGGGATGAGGCATGTGACTAAATCTGGGTGGAAGAGGTTCCTCTCTACCTCCTAATATGGAAAGCCAGACAGACTTCAGTGCATGCCTGGAATTTTACTGGCTGCAGCTCTGCTGTATTGAGTTCTCAGTACTGATAACATTCCAGTAGCCATTTTTAGTTGTGACACTTGAAGATGATAAATTAAAGGAGGGAAGGAAGGCAGTTTTGGAAGTGAGTTGTAGATTGAAAGGCATAGAACTAGTGTTCCCCCAGAGGCTCTTTGTTGGGGTTTTATCTCTGGGAATTGCAAGTCTTAAATGACAAGTTCCGTTGTACTTCCCATTGAGCATGATGGAAGCAAGCCAAGTAGTTATCATCTTAACTTTTAGATTCAAAACTCTTATGTCCATAGTTTGACATGGATTGCCCTGATTTTCCTGGAAGTGTTCCAAAGCAGTTTTGACCTTTCAAGAAGGGTTAGGAGCCTCAAGTGGCCCTGTTTTGATTGTGAATGGTGAGAACAGCATTGAAAAACTTCCAATGAGATTGGAACAATCTGACATAAAATCAAAACAGCCAGAGACAACGTGAAACTTTACAAATGTTTTTCACATTTCCAAGGCTTAATTGATGTGGTTCCGGCTAATGAAACATTCCAAAGAACTTCCAGGCATTTATTTTCCTAAAAGTCTTTTATTGTTACAAAATGTCGGCACAGGCACAACGAAGGGATGCTAGGATCTAAGTTCTCTTCCTCTGAGCAGTTAAATTATCAGTGTGTTCCTAAATTAGCCGTCATATCTCACACTATCCAATTAGTGTGAAGGTCAAATGTTTTCTTCCTCTTTGCCCTTTCTGCTCTTTATTAACCCCATATTTACCAGACAATTCTGCATGTTGTCAAAAGCAAGAATATACAATATTTGCAGTGTTGACATTAACATTTGGTAGTCATTGCACCCCACTTAGAATTTTTAATTCAGTTTGAATATTCAGCTCTGATTCCTTGATTAAAATAGGAAGCATTATTTCCAGGCATTATTTGGACATGGGACAATAAGCAGAAATGGATGCAGTGAGAAGATGATGGTTACTCTGTGTGATGGAGAGATTTAGCAAGAATAATGGTATGTGTAAATCAGAGAGGAGTGTCAGTATTGGACTAGACCAGGGGTAGGCAACCTTGGCTCTTTTATGACTCATGGACTTCAACTCCCAGAATTCCTGAGCCCAGCTCCAAATCCACACTCAGCCACGGATGCTCTTGGGCAGATAGTTTTCTCAAACAAACAGGATTGTTGCAATGGTAAAACAAATGTACAATGCATGCCTTCTTGGGCACTTGGAGGAAAGACAAATAAATACTAATAAATCGTCTGCTGCCTTTGGGTAAAAGCAAGTTCTGTTGGAGGAAGTTGTGCAGAATCCTCTTTCAGTACTGCTGTGCTCTTTTTTTCTTCTGTCATTGGCTTTAATAGGAGATAGCATTATGCCCATTTGCTTCATCTCAGAGTTGTTCTATTGGAAGCTCTGCTATTTGAACTTGGGGCTTTTTGCTAGACAACTCAATCTGTTTTTCCTGTTTGGCTTGGTGGCCTCTATTCACATCAACCTGTTCTCTTAGTTAAGGTCTTTGATTTGACTGCAATCACACAACTGCATGGTTACCTTGTTCTTCTTACCACATTTTCTTGAGTAACTATATATACTAGTCAAAAGACACAGCTGGGCCCTGCTAGCCATGTTCTTGTAAATATCTATTGGGGCTTTCTTTTCTTGCTTTCTTTTGGTAGGGCATTGTTAGGAAAAAGTTAAAAATGTGATCTGATGATATTGTTAGTGACAGTGGGGACAAGGTTGATGCAGACAGTAGTTAATGGAGGAGGAAGCTGGGTCAGCATATGAGAGGCATAACCCCTCTGGCTCTGCTTCAGTGCTCTGATGCTACTTGTTTGGTGATGGATAATGGGGGCTGTCAGATAAGGATGCCTGCCCAGGTGTGCCACTGGCAATAGCCTGTGGGTGTATACAGCTTGGAAGGGGTGCATACCATTCACCCCAAAGCCTGCCTGAAATAAAAGGGTTGCCACACATTCTGGATTTGTACGTGTGTTTTGTCTTGGATCTACTCTGTTTCCTTTGGCTGCTTTTTTACAAGGATTATGAGAAAATGTACTGCTATTTGCAGTGCAGCAAAGCGATAGAATCTTTCTATAAGTGAATGAGACTGTTCGATTAGCAGATTTGCTTTGCCCATCTTTCTACCTTTTGCAGAGGTCTGCAAAGAGTCTTTCACTGCACACAGAGGGTGTTCTCTGGCATGCAGAATCCACTCTGCACGATCCATCATAACCGCAATGGTTGGTAGCAGGGTGAAATCACAGCAACTTCTCTGTGAAAGATAGCAAGCCAAGCCAAGTAATTGCACTTCCTGAGTCACTGCTGAAGCTGTGGGCTAGAGTTCTTCCCCAGTGGAAACATGTTATGCATACTAACCTTGCTGCAGAGCTTCCTGAATCAATAACAGAACAGAGATAGACATTTCTCTGTTGCATGCCTCAAGTGAGTGAAAGAACTAGATCAGTGGTTCTCAACCTTTTTAATGCCACGACCCCAACCGGTCGTAAGTCGAGGATTACTCAACCGGTCGTAAGTCGAGGACTACCCAACCGGTCGTAAGTCGAGGACTTTCCCTGCCTGGGAGCGCCGCGCATGCATGGTGCCGCCCCCTGCGCCAGCCGAGGTGTAGCTGGCAAGCGGCAGAGAAGGCGCAGGCCGACCACCGGCTGGGCCACCAGCTGGCTCAGCCCAAGGGAGGTAAGGCATCCGCTGGGCCCCATGCACGCCAGCAACCCTCCCTGCGCCCGCCGGCCTCCCAGCTCCCACCCCTGGCCCTCTTTTACTTACATTTTTAGTAGTTGCTCAGCAGGGAGGGGTGGAAACTTCCAGACAGCTCGCCTTCGCTGCAGACAACTTGCAGCACCGTTTGCAGAATGGGACTTTTGGCGGGCTCAGCAGGGCAGAGACAGCCTGGAAAATTCCTATTGGCTTTTGAAAACCAATAAAATTAGACTCTATTCAAGAGAGTCTATTCTATTGGCTTTCAAAAGCCAATAGAATAAAAGGGAGTAGCACAGCTAAGGAAAAGGGGAAAAAAATGGCGGACTGCGTTGTTTGGTAACCCCCGTGAAATGGTCGTTCGTCCCCAAATGGGGTCCCGACCCACAGGTTGAGAACCACTGAACTAGATGGACGTGGACCACTCTAAGAATCTTGTGTCACCTTAAGGTAACAATGGTGGGAGCAAATTATTGTCTGATCTATAATGATGCTTGCAGGTTCACCACTGGCTGTATTTCACTGGGCTTGTTTGGGACAACCTGAGGCTGCTGCTTGGCACACTAAGAATCTTAATTAGCAGTGTTAACCCTTGGAAGAAATAGTATTGACAGTGAGAAATGGACCGATCATATTGGCTTAATTACCTCACCAGAGTTTTGAGTACTTGCAGTAAAATTGGGGATTTGATATGTTAACATTTGAAATGGTCTGTAGAAGAGTGAGATTCATCACAAGGGGGAGAGAGAGGACTTGCCAGCTTCAAATCCTTTTCAGTCAGTTAGGAACTGGTTCCTTGCTTATCCAGAGAGGCCTGTGTCTTGCAGAAGCTATTCTGTGCTTAGTCTCCTTTTCCTCCTTCTCAAGAGGTCATGCACATTGTCTACAAGCAATCTCTTTCAGGCTAGTTCCTTGCCATGGCTTCATTGTCAATAATTATTCTTCCTCTTTTGTTCTTGCTGTAGGAAGGGGATTCATTGGGGGCTATGGAGAAGCTCTGCAGGCAGCTGACATACCATCTGAGCCCCCACTCTCAGTGGCGACGCCAGGGCATGGTGAAGAGGAAGCCACAGGCTTGGTGAGTAAAAGTGGGATGGCTGGAGACCACCTTTCTGGTCATAGCAGCAAGTTGGAACCTGTGAAAAATACAAGGGGTAGCATCTATGTGGAGAGAGGAGTTCAAGACATTGTAAAATAGTCTTCTTTGGTCTCAAAAGTAGCAGCCTGCAGGTTGGCAAATAAGTCACATCCTCAAAAAATTATAACTGTGTTGTAGGCTCTGCACTGGTTACCTAGATGTTGTTAGCTGAAATCCAAAATCCTGGTTCTACTGTATCTACAAAGCCATATATGAACTAATTACTTCTGTCTTGAGGACTACTTTTCCACATAGAAGTGATCCATGCAGTGTATGCTCCTTGGCCAAATCTGTTAGTGGTCCCAGGCAAAGGTGGTAAAGGAGATCGGGGTTCACAGTTAGCCTCTTTCTTTGATAGCTCCTATACTTTGCAATCACTTCCCCCTCAAGGACAGGCTTATGTTCATCTTGATGGCTTTCCACAAGCTAGCAAAAACTGGCTTGTATTTGAGGGCATTTGGGGAATGATGCCATCTATCCATTGACTTCTGCGAGATGGGTGGCATATAAGTTTAATAAATAAATCTGTGTTTCTTGTTTGATGAACTTGTGATTTTTTAAATTTTGGTTTTAATTCTGTTTTCTATGGATTTAATTTATTTATTGGGCTTACAGACTCTTTACATCATAATAGACTCTGAATAGCACACATACCCAGTATAGTAATTGGATTAAAAATAGTACATAAAATAAAAACATAAATACCCCAGGCATCGTTATTGTATCAAAAAATAAAAATAAAGATATATTATTATTATTATTAATAATAATAATAATAATAAAGTGGGAAGGGACCTTGGAGGTCATCGAGTCCAATCCCCTGCTCAGGCAGGAAACCCTACACCAGTGGTTCTCAACCTTTTTAATGCCGCGACCCCCCCCCAACTGGTCGTAAGTCGAGGACTACTCAACCGGTCGTAAGTCGAGGACTACTCAACTGGTGCAGCACCGTTTGCAGAATGGGACTTTTGGCGGGCTCAGCAGGGCAGAGACAGCCTGGACAATTCCTATTGGCTTTTGAAAGCCAATAGAATTAGACTCTGTTCAAGAGAGTCTGTTCTATTGGCTTTCAAAAGCCAATAGAATAAAAGGGAGCAGCACAGCTAAGGAAAAGGGGGAAAAAAATGGCGGACTGCATTGTTTGGCGACCCCCATGAAATGGTCGTTCGACCCCAAATGGGGTCCCGACCCACAGGTTGAGAACCATTGCCCTACACCATTTTGGACAGATGGCTGTCCAGTCTCTTCTTAAAAACTTCCAGTGTTGGAGCATTCACCACTTTTGGAGGCAGGTTGTTCCACTGGTTAATTGTTCTAACTGTCAGGAAGTTTCTCCCAGGTCTTTATAGCTTTTGAAAACTCAGGAGTGTGGAGTCAATCTAATTTCTGGGGGAATGCTATTCTGGAGATGGGGCAGCAGTTGAAAAGGCCCTGTGGCTTTTCCAATGGGTATTTTTTGCTGGAAGACACTAAAAAAGTTTCAAAATATGATCATGTGACCAGAGGAAGCTGCAACCAGTTGTAAATGTTAGGCGGTTTCCAGGTGCTAGGAATGCAATGACATGATCATGGGGGTGGTGTAGCAATTGTAACTATAAGAATGAGTTGTAACTTTTTTCAACTTAGTTATAACATTGAATGATTGTTAAGCAACCAGACGTAAGTCAAGGACGACCTGTAAACTGTGAATCCCTAAGACTGGTGGCGAACTTATGGTACGGGTGCCAGAGGCGGCATTCAGAGTCCTCTCTGTGGGCACATGTGCCATCGCCCCAGTCCTAGGCCTTCAGCTGGGTTTTATAAAACCTTTTCGCTTGAGGCCTTCGCTGCCATGTGCAAAAAAAAAAAAAAAGGTTCAATCAATGAATCAATTTCAACATCTTGTGGGAAAAAAAAAGATCTTGCGAAGTTGGAATTGATTGATTGAACTTTTTAGTCCTACCCGTTACCACTGCAGCCATGCCCAGCCAATGGGCCATGCCCAGCCAATGGGCCACACCCAGCCGGCACTTGATGATGCATAAGTGGGTTTTGGGTTGCATTTTGGGCACTCAGTCTCTAAAAGGTTCGTCATCACTACCGTAAGATAACACTTTATTGCTTTTGATAAAAGAGAAGCTTTGTCGCTCATAGTTGAACTGTGGGTTCTTTGGTGGTTTCTGAGCTTGGTTGTTTTTCACGATGTTACCTAATTTGGTAATGAAACTTCTACAAAAAAACAACCAAGTTCAGAGACCACCAAGGACCCCACTTTATTGCTTATAACAATTTATTTTTACAAGCAGCACTGTGAGTTTATGATGATATGATCAAGTCTTAATCTTTGAGGAATAATCTTTTGAACCTGAGACTTGGAATACTGTTAGCTAGATTTGCAATAAGTAAAATGAGCGGGATGCTTTGAGTTTCATTATGTTATAAGATCCATATAAGTTGTCACGTGGCTTATTTATTTGAGGATAGATAAGCATACATTTCTACAGGTACTAAACATCGAGTTTCAGATGGTAGTAAATAGTAAGGCACATGAAAACAGGACAAAGATGACAAAGGGCATTTGGGAAATAGCCAGGTTCTCTCCTCCTTTACATTTCTCAAGTTAAGGAAAACTGTACAGTATTCTGGGCTAGACATAGGTTCGTGCCATAGGTTCGCCACCACTGTACTATAGCATCTATAAGGACATCTGCAACACTTAATGTACTTCTGAATGTTTTATTTTGTTTCCTAGTGTTTAATAGTCCTGCCCTTGGCCACAGTAAAAGAGGAGGAGGAGAATAGCTTATTATATGAACCCCAAAACCACGGTTTCTTAACTCAAATTTAAGATGTAGCATGTTATGTGATTACAGCTACTATGTTTAAACTATCCAGGAGAGATTTAAGGTAGCAAAATAGGCAGAAGAATGATTTGGGAATGGCTTCCTTGCTTTTTATTTCATATCATGATTGACTATCACCTGTTAACATGGCTGAATAAGAGAGCAAAGCTGTGTCCACTGCCAAGAAAAGTGATGGCAGATGCATGTGAAGGAAGGTGCTTGATTCCTCTGGCATGGGTTGGGCTGAGCACGTCTCCTTGAGTTCAGTGTCATGGTTCCGACAGATGAAACCCTTCAAAGGAACTTCAAGGCATTTTTTTACCTTAAAGAATCTTTTATTTGGGAAACAAACTATCAGCACTACATAGTTGAACCTAAAAACTAAATTCCCCTCCCCTGAATACAAAGTACAATTCCCACTTCCAATAAACAATCATAAATCACATTCCCCAATTAGCTTGAAGCACGGGCTTTCTCCCCAGCTCTCCAGCCCACCAAAACACTATCAGCTCTGGGCCCAATGTCCTTGGGTTCCCAGGGCCGAGTTATTATTGTTATGACTAGCTGGACTCTCATCCCTATCCCCCCTCCCAGCATCAATTAATTCTATAAGCATAGAGAAAATAGCTGCATTTTCATCTGTTGTCAAGGCAAGAACATCCGATGTTAGCAGCGTTGATATTCAGCTTGAAACAGCTTCTGTTCTCAGTTTTCCTGTTTTCAGACCATAATGTCTCCTGAGATCAGGGATAGGGGGAAATTCCTAGTCGCATGACAAGTCCTCATTAGAGGAAGCCTAAATATTGGCTAAGTTGGTAGTAGGACACAGGTAATCTAACACAAACCAAATAGATCCCCAGGCAATACAAAAATACCTAATTCTCTTCACATTCCAATTTTAAAATAGAAGGATTACCAAGGATTAAGGTAAAGATGTGTGGAGAACTTGGAAAATAGCTGCCGGGGTGATGCAGTGGTTAGAAAGCAATATTGCAAGCTGACTGCCCACTGCCAGGAGTTTGATCCTGACAGGCTCAAGGTTGACTTAGCCTTCTATCCTTTTGAGGTCATTAAAATGAGGACCTGGATTGTTGGAAGCAATATGCTGATGCTGTAAACCAGGGGTATCAAACTGGCAGCCTGTAGGCCGGATGCATCACACGCAGGCCATGCCTACCCCAGCTCCGCAAAGGCAAAAAAATCACGATATTTCATGATACGCACATGACACTATTGAATTTGACACCCATGCTGTAAACTGTTTAGAAAGTGCTGTAAAGCACTATGAAGCAGTGTATATAAGTCTAAATGCTATTGCTATTGAGAAGCTTTTATTATTAAGCAAACTGTCAGAGTGATAGTGAATAAGTTTGAAGAAATGTTCTTGAGTCAGTGAATAGTCCAGTTTTTTCTCCTTAGTCTCCTTAGGGTGGAGTATTGGTGGAATATTGGCAGAGTGGAATATTGCAAAAACAATATAGGAAAATCTGCCAGCCAGGTTTGTCTTTGCTGGTGGCTTGTTCATTCCAGTGAGTGACACAAGAAAAGGATGGCAACATATATTTTCAACTCATGGACCATTATCAACTGATACACTGAGCAGAGACTTCTCATCATTTTCTGCTAAGCAGCTAGTGGGCATTTTTATTAATATTATGCTTTGACAAAGTGGAATTGCCAACCAGGCTGAATTTCCCAGCTCTGCGTTCTTTATTTTTCAAAGCCTCTTGATTGATGCCTGTCTAGGAGGCATCAAGGAGAACCAGTAGAGTAGGTAAGGTCTTGGACTGGGACATGGGAAAATCATATCTAGATCACCACTTGAGCTTGTTTGGCAATTTTGGACTAGACACACTCTTTCAAACCTTACAAGATGATGATTTGTCAGGATAAAATTAGGGGAAGAACTTCATATGTGATGCCTTGAGCTTTTAGAGGAACAAAATACAAATAGAGTGACCATAACAACTTGATAAGAGACTAAAAACAGCCAGATATCTCCCCCTGCAGGCTGTCCACTGCTGGTTAAATACAGACCTTTCCTTCCTCAATCTTCGGAAGATCAATTATATACAGTAGCTTGTCGCTTTCTGTCTCTCTACCAGAGCTTGATTTTTG